TATATATATATATATATATATATATATATATATATATATATATATATAGTTGTATATTTAGGCAGCAATCCTTTGTTTATGCATGTTTCATTAAAAACGACAGACAAGGTACTACGGTTAAGCTTTTTATTTAATTTTTCTTGTGTCCGAACAAGAGCTGTCTTTTCTGGACAAAGGGTGTGTAAGAACTGTCCAAATGTTTTATATTTCCGAGCGCTTTCGGCTATACCTTTAGCCATTATCAAGGATGATTCGATTTTTCACCTTAATTGTGTGTGTGCGTTATGCGTAGGTTTTAGTGTGTTGTAGGGATCTTTTTCATTTTCGGAATACGGTTAGCACATTGTGGCTTTGTTCGTAGTTAATATTGTTAAGAGTTGGCCTTTTCTTTTTTATTATTTAGACTTCCATTATTTTTAATCTTTTTTTTGCAGGTGGATGCAGTTAATATATTTGTTTTTTTTACTAGTATTACTAGTTTTTAATGAAACATGCATATATACAGTAGCGGCCATAATATAAGGAACGGAAACAACAAAGACATAAATATGTGTATCACTTAAAAAGTAATGCATGATTTGCAATGAAATTTTTACCGAATAAAGATTAGGGGGTAATGCATAAATATTATCCAAAGTTACAAAAATTTACATAATAGTTTGTTTTTTTTAAGTAAAGTTTAAATGGAACAAAGGAAATAAGCTACTGGACAAAAGTTAAGGAACGATGTTAATAATTTGCATAAACTTTTAATTTACATTGTTAAAAAACTCGATGGAGCTTTTCAACCATAAGTAAAAGTTCATTTATCATTAGGACTTTATTTTTAAGCAATATGGCAAATTCTACGCGCAAGACGCTCTCTTTTGAAGAAAAAAACTCATTATCGCTATGAAGAAAAAAGTCAATTTCAGAAATTTCTGATATTGTTCATAGGTCTAAAAGTGTCGTTCATCGTTTAATTAGCAGTTATAAAACCGATAAAACGTTAGATGCAAAACCGAAAACTGGCAGACCTCCAAAAACCTCGCAAAGAGAAGATCGAAGAATTGTTAGAATATCTACAAAAAACCGTTTTGAAACTGCTACATCAATTGCCCGTAAATTTAATGAAGAGACAGATAATAAGGTATCAAGGAAAACGTTTTGCTTTATATATATATAAAGTATGTATATATAAGTGTAATATCTGTTCTTGAAAAGTCTTACGAACGGAGAGTCTCTCATTTCGTCATGTTGATGAGAGATGTTACAAAATTTGAGTAACATCAGGCAAAACATCATACTTTCAAATTTAAAGAAAAATCATTTTTTTATTCGTAAAACGATATAAAAGTATATATAATAAAACAATGATGCTTAGGAAAACCAGGAATAAAAAACAAGAAACAGAAAACTATTAAACACTTTAAGCAATTTAACAAATAATATATATACGCAAAATATACATTTTTGGGATCCACTCAAAATGAACATGCCTCGTGTTACCATGAAATTGAAATTTCTCATTACACAGAAAAGAGATCATTATTCAACAGCCAAGTCCATTGCTATGCATAAAGAAACAACAAAACAAAAAATGTCAACCGACTTAGAGTAGAACGAACTAAAGACACCAGAGGATTATTTACACTTATTATTAACCTAATACAAGGCTCAAGGCCACTAAAAGTAGAGCGTTACTGAATTAGGTTGTTGTAAGGACATAAAAGGAAGAATTAAAAAGTGTATATTATGAGGATATGTAGGATATATAACATTTGACCCTAGACTTGAACAGGTTAATTGTAATGATCGGGGAAGCATCCTCTCGGATAGCACAGAGAAGTGGTTCTTGAGAAGAAGATGTCTGTGTGGCACTTCCTCCTTACAAATGGAATACGAATAGAATAAGGATGATTTTACACCTTATATAGGTCTTAGCAGTAAAGATCTGAACTGGTGAAACTACAAAATGTAGCTCGTCTGAACAAATACCATGAAAAGAAAATGATAGAGTAGCGAGAGCTAAGTAATGTTTGCTTTGGGGGAGGAGAGGGAAAATAATTCATAACCCAAAAGGCTCCGTAAATGCATTTGAATTCTATCAAGCCTGGAATGTGAGAATTAAGCAGTTCCAGCACAGGTATGTCTGCAATAATCTATTTTTAGTTGGCTCTGACTCTTGTAGAGAGCTTGACAAAAGGTCATTTTTGGAGCATTGCAAGAAACATTGTGGACATGCCCGTTGGTTTAAGAAAAACAGGCTTCCTTAAATCTTTCAAGTTCTTCTCACTATTCCTGCCAAACTCGACAATGCTGTGCACTAGACTATCTTTATTCACTTTTCATTTTTTTCTTGGGACTTTTCCAACTAGTCCTATGATTATGAGCCTGATAACCACGTTCAAATTCCGTAACTTTTATCGCCCGAATAACGATGATAACATTAGCAGATTTCCTAATTTTCATTTAGTTTCGTACTGATATAGTTGAAGAGCTACGGTCTATTTGAGAGATATTCTTTCCCTTGCGTAATGTTTTTTTTTTTTGCCATTTGGCCTCTATATATGGTGTTATGCCTATTTCAAATGTTGTTTCATTTCCCATTCTTGATTATGGATTCTACATTTTGTCTATATCATCTTACATGGTGGAATAAAATTGGTTTGCACTGTTCCTAGTGAATCGTTCTTCCCACCCATAACTGCATCTTTCTCATTATCTCCATAAACACAAGTACTGTCGTGGTCGAAACAGTCGCAATCCTTGCTTAAGTTTCAGTTCCTTAACTTTTGTCGTATTTTTGACAATGTCCACTATTAACGCTATTTTTATCTTAACGTTCCTTCGCTCACAAACTCTTTCTTTTCCTGTTCGATACGAAAGAAAACAATTCGGCCAGATAGTCCATTGTGGTGAAAAGTTGATTCATTACAAATACGAGATTTCAAAATTTTGCTCAACGTAGGACACCCATCATTCAACTGAAGCTAAACGCAATGAAGTTACAAATATTAAGAACATTAACCATAACGCAATACTTACAAATTAAACTGATTGTAACGGAGTCCCTGGTTGATATTAGAAGTAAAATTTTTATTACTTACTTACTTATTTTTTATTTTGAACTTGAACAAGCAATGGGAATTGTTCTCTGATAGTTGGTTGCAACATAATACCAGTCTTCGAATTGCAAACCTGATGCATAAATAGAGAATAGCTGTGATCGTAAATTCTTCTACATATAGTGTATTTCCCAGTGTATCACTTGTTTCCCTCTTCGCTCACTTACTGGCCAGCAATTCCAGCAGATTAAAAATATCGAAAAGTCTCACGGGGAAACTGGAATCATTATTTTAGGATGTGTTACAAATTTAGCTAAAGGGTGATATAAGATTATACAGGATCTTCAGGCTAATTTTGAGTTTTTTTTTTTTTCAAATGAAAACAAAGTGTATATGTAAGTCAAAAATCAATTTATTAAAAAATAGAAAAGTGGCATATGAGTTATAATAATCAAAGGACAATTCACTCAAAGAAGCCACCCTCAGCCTCTACTACGGCTTCGATCTGACTTCGGAATCTGGCAAATGCGATCTTCCCTAGGGGAAGCCTCACGCCTTCTTAATTCTGTCGATAAGCTGGGCCTTGAAGTGCAGTTGGTGTCTTTCCCAATTGCGCCTCACGTATGATAATCTAAGGGATTACAATCAGGAGAGTTAGGGGACCAGACAATGGGGCTGGTGAAGTCGTAATAATTAACTGACAACCACTTCTGACTCTTCCTGAAGGTGTGGAAGGAAACTGAATGGTACTGTTACACATGGTCTTCCAGCAGCTACCCTCTCCAACCAAGGCTTGATCACGATCTTAAGCAACTGCACATATCCATCTGAACTGAGCCTGAGACCCAGTTAAAAATGTGAGGTAGCATGATATCACTGTCACTAGAGACAAACTCAAAAACCGTCAGTTTGGGGAAAGTTGGTCTTCATGACACGAAGAACGTTATATGGATTGTAGGTAAACCATCTGTTATTCTGGATATTGTGCAGCTGGTCCTGACAAAAAAATTTTTCATCAGAGAAGAACCAGGTTATTCTTGGTTCAAAAGGATGTTTCACATAGTTTAAGAGTTTCTTTGCCTTTGTCAGACGGTTTTCCTGAGCCTTTTTTGCAAGAAGTTGACTTTTTCCCATCTTCTATGATTGGTAGAGGAGATTCTCATTGAAGGCCATCATAATGGTTGAAATTGCAGCACCTATTTCCCCGAACCCAAACCTGCATTTCCTTACCTGGGTTTTCCATCATTTTCTCCTCCAGCTGTTGGACGCATTCTGATGAACGTCTTCTGTGTTCTTTGCTACAAGCCACGGCCTCGTAGCCTCTGTTGCAGCTCGTCATTTTACACCTTATTGTTTTTACGGTGTTCAAAGTGCATTGAGCAGCTGTCTTGATTGCGGCCCTTTGATACCCGTCACGAATCATCCTGATGCAGGTTACCCTTTTTCAATATTCAGGTTGCATCCATTCGTCCATGGCAGTTAACTTTGGCATCTATAAAACTGTAGTGATTAAGTTTCGCAATGCCGTTCAAACCAATTGGAAAAAATAAAAACATTAAACTCAAATTTAACCCGAACAACGTGTAGAAAAACCATACCTTTATATGAAGAAGGGACTTTGTCAAAAATGCTGAAAATTTTTGCTTTAACCTAATAATTATATGACATATTTGTTTGATTATTTATTCACTTAAAGTCTAAACAAAAAAGTAAAATAGGTATAAATAGATGCGTTATAATATGACATCAGATGGCAGGAAGTCGTTTTTCTTTGGATACACACATTTTTTGGTAATCTTGGCTAGTTTCTTTGTTAAATAGCTGAAACTAATTCCTGCAGTAAAAGAATTATACAAACACAATGGATTCACGATTCCTTCAAATTCAGGGACGACTTTGAAACGCTGTTTATGTATGGCATTCTGGCGGGAAGTACCCTGTGGTGTTATTTTATTATGATTTAAAAAGAAAGAAAGATGGGGAAGTAAAACAAGAGCGAGAGAGAGAGAGGGGGGGAGAGGGGGGGGGAGAGAGTTTAGAAAGAAAAGTAGGGAGAGAGAAAAAGAAAGTCTTAGGAAATGTAAGGAGAGAAGACGGAAACGGGATAAAATATGAAAGAAAATAGAAGAAATAAAAAGTGTGAATGTAAAGGAAAGTGAAAGAATGCGAAGAATAGAAAGAAAAGGAGGGAAAATGACAAGAGAGGGTGCTACTATAGTATTATATCTACCGAAGCATTTGCGATCTACCGTAAATGACGATGCACTCATTATTGCTGGAAAATGCTCAGAAAAAACAATGACCTGATCATTGTTTTTTTGTTTTTTTTAAATGACATCAAATCAGTTTATAAGCATTAAAATCATTATTTGATGATTTTTTCTGTATAAAAAAATTGTTAATGATTTTAAATACATAACCAGTTCACTGTTCACTGCCTTTAACCCTAAACCTAACCCTTAACACTTATCCTATGTGAAGGACAAAGAGTAAAATACAGAGGGGAGAGATAAGGAGAAAAAGAGGTTGAGCGATATGTGAGGAGAGAGAGAAAGAAGAGAGAGAAAGAAGAGAGAGAAAGAGAGGGAGGTGAAGTGAACGAATGTTGAGGAAACAGACAGCTAAGGAAATAAAAAAAAAGCAGACAGAAAAACAGAGAGAGAGAAAGAAGGTAAAAAAGAGGGAAATAAGATAAAGTAACAGAGAGCGAAAGGTAGTGACAGAAGCAAGCGGAAAGAAATAAGCTTAGTGGGGACGACTGGAAAGGAAGAAAGAAAGAAAGAAAGAAAGAAAGAAAGAAAGAAAGAAAGAAAGAAAGAAAGAAAGAAAAACAAAAAGAAAGAAAGAAAGAAAGATAGACAGATAGATAGACGTACATCGGAACGTTTTTCTGTGTGTAACAATTATCCTTACCGCAAGAATTTGTCAACCTTAATATAACTATGGAAGGCCGTAAATGCAAAAAATAAATAAATAAATGATAATAATAATAATGAGAAGAAAAATATGAAGAAGAAGAAGAAGAAGAAGAAGAAGAAGAAGAAGAAGAAGAAGAAGAAGAAGAAGAAGAAGAAGAAATAAGTATAACTAAATAAAACTTTGAAAGGTTTGTTGGTTAAGAGTATTTCACAAATCCAAGCTCACACATGCATTTAAGATACGTAGGTAAATCAACAATTTTATAACCTAATTATAAAAAATGTATTTGTTACCTAACAAATATATCTTTTTAACATAATCCCCACTTTGGCAATGCGCTTAATTCAATAGTGAATATTAATCACTTAGTGTGACCATTATTTTCAGTTTCAGATTAAAATTTAGTTAATAACAGGCTACGGACTTATTGATCCATCCTCGTTGGCTCGATAACAAGGCTGTGAAGAGAAAAGGTTGCAACAGATTCTAACCGTAAGTTGTTAAGAATAAAATGATTCTAATTTTCATTCTTCCTTAAGTTAAGCAGTGTCAAGCTAGGTCAGTACCTAAATGGGGACAGTTTGGTAACACGGATATTCTAAGTGACCTCCTCTGACTCAAAATATGTTTCGGCTTTAAATAACACATAAAGAGTTGGTAAACTATTTTTCAAAACTACAAAAACAAATCAATCAACAACTTCTTTATCCTTTTTCTCTGTTTCTTCCCCCACTCTCTCCCTCCTCTTGCTCTCTTCTCACTCACTCACTCACTCACTCACTCACTCACTCATTTACGCTCTACTCTCCCTCTCTCTCTATCCCTCTCTCACCTCTCACTCTCCTTCCCTCCCTCTCTCTCACCTATCTCCCCTTTCCCTCTCACTCTCCTTCCCGCCCTCTCTCTCTCCTCTGCCTCTTTCTCCTCTCTCTCTTTCTCCCTTCTCTCTCCTCTCCCTCTCTCTCATCTCTTCCCCTTCACTCCCCTTTCTCTCTCTCCCCCTCCCTCTCCTCCCTCTCTCTCACTCCTTCTCTTTCCTCTCCCTCTCTTTCCTCTCCCTCTCGCTCTCTCATCTCCATATCTCTCCCCTCCTTCTTTCCCCACTCGCTCCTCTCCCTCTATCTCTCTTCTTGAGTCTATAGGTAAATATTGGTTAGTTCTATACTTGAGATTGTACATTCGGAAGATGGCCTTTTTAGCTAGGGATCTTACCTCGCTACTGAGGATGAAGTCAGCGTATATTTCACCTCATCGACAGGGCAGTATCTTTAAAGCAGTCTTTCTCAAACATTTTTACTCCAGAGCGCACTTGTAGAATAACTTTAAATTTTAATAAGGAGAAAATAGACATAGAATTTGAATATAGAAAATAATAAAGAAGTTTCCTGAAATAAGCATTTATTTCAAAGCATTTCAATGTATATTTAGGTGATACAGTTTTCTGGGTGAACTACATACATATATAGTCCTGCAGTGCTCAGATGAACTACATACCCTGGTCCCACAGTGCACGGATGAACTACATTCCCTGGTCCCGCCGAGGCACACCTTCACAGCAAGAACACGCCATTCTACGCGCATTGTAGCAAACCACTGACATTCCCTCCGTATCTCATCCGTGAGAAGTAAGTCCTACTCGAACATCTTCCTGCGAACCACTGCCCTGTGGAACCGACTCTCAACGGGATGTCTCCCCGATCACTACAATCTTAACCTGTTCAAGGCTGGGGTAAACCGTTTATCTTTCACTCCTATACACACAAATGGCCTCGAAACGAAACTCTCTACCTCGAGTGACTCCCGGGCCCTGTAAAAGTTGAACCTCGCTGTAAAAAAGGAAGAATTTTTGTATTTATTTTTTTTTTTAGAGTGGTCGATTTTAAATATAAAAAATAACTTATAAATTACTCTTATGTTAACTTGGGGCGCACCTGATTACATCCCAGGGTGCATTAAATTAATGAAATACATTTCAAATGAATTTAATATAAAAATGCAAATAAACAATTTTAACATTTCCAATCTCACGGGTAGGACTTATTAGGCATAAATGTCAAACATCTAATACAGTATTTACACTACATCGTTCTAGCTGGTCTTCATCTTTATTGCCACATTCACGACGTTTCAGCCGTTGTACGCTCCAGCCTTCTTCAGGTAATATATGTTGGAATTTCGAACCGTATTCTTTATTTAATCTACGCGGTTAGATTGTTCAAATTCCAATGACACATGGCCCAGTGAATAAAAGTGTTGGTTGAGCAGTCAAAAAAGAAAAGCGACTTGATCCAAAAAGATGCGAGTTCAATACCTAGCCACTGCAGAGGGAACAAAAAAAAAGTAAAGGGTTCAGTTCGAAATTCCGACGTATATCTATGACTGAAAAATAGTGTGATAACAATGACGTTTTAAGGACAATGGACACAGTTGAATTGGCTAGAGGTAACCGTAAGGTTTCATGTTAACACTTTCTTTTCTCGCAATTCTCGCTTGTGGAACTCTCTTCCGACTCCATGCTTTCCAGCTAAATTTGATCTTCAAAAGTTTAAATGCAATGTCAATAGTTATCTACTGTCTTCATGATTACACTTCTATTGTTCTCGCTCCTTAATGTTTCTATTTTTTCTTATCCATTCACATTTAGTAACCCCTTTTGTCTTAGGGGCTTTATTACCTTGCGTGGGGTGATATGATTAGTAAAGAAACTAAAAAGGACGCTTATACTTAGACTCAGAAAGCGACAGTTGAAATTTCTAGGGCACATAATGAGGAAAGAGAGCTTGAAGAATTTAACACTCACAGGACATACTGAAAGCAGGAGGGGCAGAGAAAATAGCCAGTAAACTGAATAACGTGCTTGTGTAAATGAATGATAGAACACGGTCTGGTGGTGAAAAGACAAACCTTACAAACAGCTAAAAAGGATAGGAAATCGTGGAGTCCACGATCGACAACGTCCTGATTGACACGACATAAAGGAGACGAAGGACACGATTCAAGGTAAAAAAAAAAGCAATAATTTGGCATAGTTATTGTATTAACTTGAACTTAATGAGAACAAATATAGTAAAAAGTTTTGGGATACTTACACAATTTTACGAGATAGGTATTTCAGATAATGCCATATTTCCTCATTTTTTTATTTGCGTGTTTTTTTTTTCTTGTTTCTCCTACCTGAGTGACAAGTCGTTAAGAAGTAAGATTATTATTAAAGGTTTCTGGCCTCAGCGGGTGAGAAATTCCCAAAATAAATTTAACATGGCTATGCTCAACGATGGATAACTGAGAAAATCCAAGCCAACTGCAACACTTGTTGCCTGATCAGCAAAGTAACATATAGTCGAACGTTATCTTGATGAAATATTACACTCTTTCTGTTAACGAATTCTGGGAGCTTTTAATTGATTGATACCTTGAATCAATCCCATTAGGAACCATTACAAATCATAACAAATGTTAGAGTTAATTTTTACTTCACCGGAAGGAGTTAATAGCAAAGAATCTATTTTCCATGCTCATCATATTCAATGCATGAACATCGTCTGATTGCAAGGTTAGTTTTGATTCAATTTCATTATCTCTTGCGTTACACATTGTTGTAATATATCTACTTTTCATCACACGTCACAATTTTTGTTTTTAGAGAACAGTTTTAAATAGAGTTTAGTGGAATTATGTAGAAGTCACATGACAGTGACAAACATAACCAGTAAAGTGTAAATTATCTTCGACTCTTGATAAGTATATTTTGAGAATATTGCTACCGTCGTATACCGTTGTTACAATCAACTTCATCTCGTCTACTCCAGCATTGCTTAGCACAAAATCTTCAGTATGAAACTTTGTAAACCACTTTTGACACGTTTGATTATTTACAGTATCTTCATAAATTGCACAAAACTTTTAAAACATTTGAGTAAAATTTTTCAAAGTTTTTGCACCTTTTTTTATACTATTCTTAAAATAAAAATAACATCATTGAAAAAAGCATAAACTGTTGCTTATTATTCCATCTTTAATGTGAACCTCAATAAAAAAAAACGAACACTAATTATTTTTTTTAAATGCGCGCGAAAAACTTTCTCGATACAACGAAATGCAATCGTTTTGAATGCAGTTAGTTAAAACTATAAGCACCTGATTAGATCGAATTTGAAAAGCAGAACAAAACTTTAATCCAACACGATGTAATTCTTTTAGCTTTCAGAGAATGGTTGAAAAACAACCACTGAACAGAACGGCAATAAATGATGAAAGATATTGCATTTCTAAACATAACTCGACCTGATATAATACAATCGAGCGCTGTCAACGCCTCCAGATTGTTCGGAGACAAAGATGAGGAAAAAAAAACAAAAGAAAGCGGGATGCAGAGAAACAGTAAGAACTTCATTATAAGCAGTATCGCATCTTTTGGGGTGAGGCATCTGTTACTCTTAACTCATCCTCGTTTCCGCCTTGAACTGTTTGCAATGTTTGCCCTCCTGTAGTGCTTTAAGCTTGTCTTAGCTCAATATCCGAAGGACAAAAATCCTTATAAAACATTTTTTGCCTGATAATGGCAGCAGTCGATCTCCGAAATTGTCTAGCCCTTATATATATATATATATATATATATATATATATATATATATATATATATATATATATATATATATATATATATATATATATATATATATATATATTCTGTTTATACGTTATTTTATGGATACAAATTATTTGAGTAAAAGTATTAATTACATTTACTGTCTTGAATGATCGAGAAATTTCGAAGAAACTATGCGTTCTCCGACAGAAATCGAACCTGTGTCCCATATGGAAACCTGCATTTGGCCTAACGTGCTGTTAGCCATTCAGCCACAGAGAACTTTCACGTTAGCAAAGTCCAAATTACTGCTTGGTAGTATATATATATATATTTATTTATGGGTTAAAGAGCTCAATATCAGGGATAGA